AACTTTTTTTTTAATTTTATACAATTGTTTAATAATAAAACCACCATTAACCATTTGATAATTATTAAAGCGATTAATAAGAAATTTCTTACTTGTTACACCTTCTGCCATATACTTGCTCCCCAATTTGTCCTATAATTCTATTACAATAGTCTCATTCTGGAATGTGTCAAATAATCCATCAAAAGACCAGTCAAAATGTAACCTTTCCATATATAATCCGCATTGACCCATTTCTGTCTTTCTCTAGTTGCAACAACAGATTCATTTTTATTCTTTTCTCATCTAAATGTAGTCAGGATATAGACAACCTTCAATATTGAAAGTAGGAAATGCATATTCTTCTGCCATCTTAGAAAGTTACAATCATCAAACTGGTCCAATTTTATAAAATTAAAAACTAATTTTTTTAGTGTTCCACTTACAGTAACCATTGATAAAACCTTAAGATTGTTATAACATAGAATTGAATATGTTGAAATGGCTTCAAGGTGTGTAATAATATCACTATCCTTAAGTTTTATTTATTCGCACTGATAATATGCAAAAGGGTTGTAGACAATAAATATTGAAAATTCGATGAAGCTTTAGTAACTTACTGCATTTCACACTGACGAAATAATCCATTGAGCATTCATCAATGTATTGAAAGATTATCTAACTTCTATAGGATTTTTCCACAATAAAATGATATAAAAAAAATTAAAAAAATATTGAGAAAGGAAGGACATATTATATTTGTTGTTCTATGTTTGTTCTTAAGAATAAAAAGAGAGTCTATTTATAGATATAAGTGACTATTCTTAATAGACACATTTATATCTATTTTTGCATCCAACAGTCATAATTGTTGGTTGATTGCACAAATACTTTTGTTGGAAATTAAAAATAAATGTTATTTAATTACCTACAAGACCCAAACGTCAAGTATCATGGAACCCACATGGATGAGTCTTAAGTTTATAAATAAAAGTCTTCATCCATTTAACATGCATGTCTTTTGGATTGAAAATGTACTCAAATCTTCATTGAATTGAGACCCATAAGAAATATAAAGGTTGAGGTAGATCTTAACCAAGGTGCGATCATTCTTTTTTATGGAAACATGCACAATTAGGAGATAAAGTGGATCTTGTGTTTATTAATAAAAATCTTTCTCCAATTAATTGAGTTGGAAATGTGAGCTTATAGCATCAAGTGTCATTATAATATATTAATTAAATATTATTAATTTAATTAATTTTAAGGTCAACCTGGGTTTAGAAAGCCAATCCACATTCCAACTTGCATTTAGGCAATTTTAGTCCAACTATCCTCTTTATTTAAACGGCTCTTTTTTTTTTTTTTCATGTGGGATTGTGTCTTACACTCATTATTGTTGAAAATGTCCAACAAAAATCTAACATTAAATTATTTTATTTTTTTTTAGAATTTTTTTGACATAGTTAAGAATAAATTAATTAAAATATCCCTTATTTTCATCAAATGAATATTAATAATAAAATTAGAAATAAAATTTTTTTGGAAAATTCTTGAAAATAAAATTAATGGTGTTAAGTAGAAAAGTAACGAAGATAAAGATAAGATAGTTAGGTGTCAAAGTTTAAACTTTAAAAGACAAGTTTATTTTACCTCAAATATATAGAGTATTTTCTATAATTTTCCCTAAAAATAATTATGGTGCTAATTTGCAACAATAGTGCAAAAGGGAAAATGATGTTTGTCTTGGTCTTCTCCCATGGGCGTGAATACTATCTGTCAAAAGGAGATTTGTTTGGAAGCAGTAAATGCAAAGAAAGTGGGAAAGATTTTTTTTCTTTGAGAAGGTTTATTCTTACAATATGATGAGCAATGATGTCCTATACTCTATAATTGGATTATTTTTTTTAATTGAGAAGGAAATATGAATTTAACTCTTTATGTAGGAGATCATGTATCAATTAATGAATCGAATGTTCGAATGCAATTGAATCATTTATAAAACTTTAATATATAAAAGATTATTCCTTTACATTTTAGACTTTATACTAACTTTAATATCAAGGTATTTACTTAAGTCTTGGACACTCATAATCTAGATATGTTGATTCCATTCTAATTCAAAATCTTGAATTAACTTATATTTTTTCTCTTATTTCTAGAAAGGTGGTTAAAGTATTATAAAATACTACATAATTCCAAATCAAATTCAATTAGTTTAATAACTGTAATAATAATGATGCCTTCTAGGAATTAATTTGAAGGTTACGTAAAGGGCACTAAAATGTACTCCTTGCTTTCCAAGGGGCTATTGCGGGTACATCAAATTAGCCACTTTAATGTGCACATCAATGCATCTAATTGTTTGTTTTAAACGTTTATTGCTTTTTATGTTCTTCTTCTTTTATTTTTTTTTTCTAAAAAAGTTGCTATAAAACAAAGGCAAAAAAGTTAAAATTAAAATCATATACAAACTGATTAAAAATGGTTAAAAAATTAAAATGTAACCCCAATTATAATATAATTAATCTATGTGAAAATAGAATCATGATTTTTTTTTTATTTAATCAATCATTGCTTGTTTGAAGGTTTGACACTTTGAGTCTATGACTCATGTAGCTAAATTCATCATAGCATAAAGTAGAAGCAAGAGAGAGAGAGAGAGAGAAGAAACACAAAGCTCCCAACAATTTCCATGCTTAAAGTGTGCAATGCAAGACACATAAACATTTTACAAGATGTGATTCTAGCTTACCAAGTAAGATGAATTAATGAGTACATAATCTATGCTAAAATTCGATAATGATTGATTGAGTAGGAATCCAACACTTTAACCTCCAGATCAGCAAAATAGTCTCAATGATTTTGACAATTTAGCAATTATAGTCCAACTTTGCTTACCTATTATATATATATATATATATATATGTATATATACCTCATAGTGAATACTAACATAATATATTAATGACATAAATACATGATATTTTCACTATCCGTATCAATACCACATGAATATAAAGTGATAAATAATATTTTAATTAATGATAGTTATTTAATCTATTAGTTATTAAACGTTTATTTAATTTAAAATAAAAATATAAAAATTTTATTAAATATAATAAAAAATAAAAAATAATTTAAATATTTAAAAAATAAAATATTATGTGGATAAATAAGTACATTATCTCCCTTTGTGTTGATTCGTGAAAAACAACAAGAAAAAGAAAGAGATAGCTATTCCCCTCACCCTCCCTTAGGATTCTCTCACTTGCCCTTGATGGGTACGCAGCATGGATGATATGATTGAAATTTTGTTTCACTGAATCAAATTTAAAATGACAAAAACGGAGGGGGCTTTTTCCTTGTTGATTGGGATGTGACCATGTGGTTCAACCAATTAAAGGCCAGGAAAAGAAAGAAGCAATTTGGACAAAGTCAAATTTGAAAGAGGCCAAGGCAGGTGTACTCGTCTTGCATGTCTTTTCCATATTGCCATGTTTTGCATTCACCGACTTCCATTCCAAGTTTGCCACCTCCTCCTCCCTGCAATTGCAACGGAGAATCAGATCAATTCTTCAATATAAGTTAAGCTCCAGAATTCTTTCCTATGCTGAATAACAAGGAACAAGGAACAAGGAAGCATGCCCCCAATAGTGCAACTAGGCAAGGAGTATTTTTATTCCGATTAAGATTTCCTATTACCAGCTTGCCAAACAAGAGTATAATCTTGGTACTTATTTTTTTTGCCACACGTGTCGCTATCTCACTGGAACAGAATCTAAACCCGCACACGCAAATTGTTAATTATTTTTTATACATTTTTAATCTTCAGTATAAAAATAGTACTTTAATAAACAAAAGTGATCCTGTTGTGGATTTTGAATTAAAATAAATAAATATTTTTTAAAAAAATTAAAATTTTGATTTTTGTTATTATTTTTTAAGAGAGAGTAGTAAGAAATATTTATTTTTTCTCCCTAAATTTCTTCGAATTTCCAAAATGAAAGAAGTCATTAAAAAATTACGAAATAGAAGTCTAACAAATAAAATAAAAAAGAATATGAGTTTTTAAATTAAAAAAAAAGTGAAGCTTCGCAAGCATCTCTCAAGAAAATTAGGTGACGTTTAATAGTTTACACTGCAATGTGATTACAGGTAATGTGATTGAAAGTAATGTGATTGTAAGCAATGTGATTGTAGAGAAAATAATATTATAGTGTTTGGTATGCAAGCAAAATAATGATTAAAATGCAAGAAAAATAACACTACAGCGTTTGGTTTACAAGTACTTTACTGGAAATGTAATGGTAATTTTTAAAATTACTCCTAATTATTAAAATATAGAGTTAATATATTTATGTTTCTTATTATTAATTTTTATATAATATCATCTCTTAAATATATTTTTAATATCATATATTTTATTTTCATTTATAATTATAATTATATATTTTATTTTTAATATATTTATATTTATTATTATTAATTTTTATATAATATTATCTCTTAAATATATTTTAATGTCATACATTTTATTTTTATTTATTATTATAATTTTATTTATTTTATTTTTATGTTTAATATATTTTTTATATTATATATTTTATTTTAATTTGTTTTATCTATATTATATAAATTTTAATTTTTTATATTTTATTTTTTAATTTTTATATTATATATTTTATTTTAATATTTTTTATTTTAATTATAATAATATAAAATATTTTTAATAAGATAATAAAATTGAAGAATAAAATTATTTTTAAAAATATTACAAAATATAATATAATATGATTACATTGATTTTAAACTGTAATCACATTATACCTCTTGATTATAATGAATATATTATGATTTTATATTATAATAATTTATTATAAAATAAATATTATAATATAATTTAATTAAATATATTATAAAAAATATACTCTCACCTTGATACCAAACGAGCCAGTGGGACCTCATTGTTTTCGTGAATTGAATGCGACCAAAACGAAAGCCCAGCTCTTTGCTCATTCTTTCTCTTTACAAATATAAAAGAGAGAATGGCTGTGGGGATTTCTTGCAACTTCTTCTTCAGCAACCCACCTTCTTCCTCTTTCTTGTTTTCAATCTTAAGTTTCTCAGGATTTTGACTCCGTCCAAACTCCCATCGCTCGACCCTTTATAGATATCCCAAAACAAAAAAAAAAAAAAAAAAAAAAAACTAATCACAAACCTCAAACACAACCCCTTTGTCCTCGCCTTCTTTTGTAATCCAACTCTGTTGCATATATCATCTGCGTAAGCCTAACCATTATAAAGCTTTCTTTTTCCCTTCTAAAGATATTTTTGTTCTTTATCAAAAGGTATGAACTGGGTGTCAACCAATCTGTTTCTTTCTCTCTTCTTTTTTTCTTTCCCGATGCGTTTTAGCTCTGCTATTGCATCAAAACATGGATTTTAGGTTGTTTTTGTTGTTGTTTACTCCCTTTTTTTAATGATTTTTGTGACATTGGTAGATTGAAATTGGACATAAAAACCAGCTGAAACTTGATTTTGTGCTTATTTCTCTGTTTTCTTGTTGCTTTTTCCGTTCCGTTTTTATTTTTGTGTTTTGCATTGTAATGGTAGATTGGAATCTGGGTTTGGATTTTTGGATTCTAATTTTGTTTTTTTAAACTCTCAAAAATTGATTCTTTTTTCTGTTTTACCTTCGTGATTGACATGGAATTATATTGATTCAATGTAATCCGTGCTATCTTCTTTTCAATGCATTTAGTTCACATTGTTCGTAGATCCAATGAATATGAGTTCTTTTGTTTGATCTCTTATCTCTCCATGTGTATTGATCAGGGTGAATCTTGTATTGGAGGTATTGGTTCTCCATGGTGAGCCATTAATCATTTTTCTTTTTTAATTTTTATTTGGATGAAAATAGTTTCTTTATCTATTATTTAAAAAAAAGAAAAAAGAAAAGAGAGAGGGGGGACTTCTGTTAGCAATCTAATTGAGTTTTGGTTTGGCAATATGGATCAAAGATAGTAGCTTTATTGTGATTTGATTTGTTTTTGGTTTATGATCATCAGGGAGAAGCTCCAGCATTCTGTGTTGACAATCTACAAAATGGGTTCTCAAATGGATTTAATTTAAAATCCGAAGGCTGTGAGACCTCTACCAACGTTGGTGACAAAACAGTATGATAATTTAATGCCTAATTTGGTGTTTTTGTCATAAAGTGCTTCTCTTTGTCTTTCTTTGTTATCTGTCACAGTTAGTTAATATGTTCAATCATCTTTTTTGATTGAGGATTTGTGTGTATTTATCTCTTGGCAGTTTGTGATTGGTGGGCTGAACGATGGTTCTACATCATCTATCGGGGTTCAGATTTATGGGAAATCTACAGGGAAATGGTTAGTTTGTGGCTTTATAGCTCTAGCTACACAGTTTCTTGTTCCAGGTTTAGTTTAGAGTTATAGATTAATTGTTTTTGGTAATACTTTCAGGGTGATTCCTACAGTGCTGGGAACAAAACCAAAACCATGTAAAGGCCATTCAGCTGTTCTATTGAGTGAAGAACAAATATTGATTATTACTAGGGGTTCCACCCCAGATGACTGCATTTGGTTTCTTGAGGTTGGTATTTGAAAACTTAATAATAGCTTAACAAATTCTGCAGCTTAGAATGTTCATTTCTTTGTGGCATTAGTACATTTAAAAGCCCAGTGCTTCTGAGTTGCATAAAAGCTATATGAATATTTTGATGCCTGAAAGTGTTTGATCTGTTTGAATATTGGTAGGTGGACACCAAGTATGTTAAGGAGCAGAAAAAAGTCCTGGGGACTGAAGTTGTTGCCTGGAGTAAGGGTGTGATGGGTGAAGCTGAGAAGCCAGTTGTTATCAGTGGTCCTTCTGGTGTTGGTAAGGGGACATTAATAAACATGCTTATGAAGGAATTCCCATCCATGTTTGGATTTTCTGTCAGCCACACAACCCGTGCACCACGGGACAAGGAGAAGAATGGAGTTCATTACCATTTTACCGAGCGAAGTGTAATGGAGAAAGATATAAAAGATGGGAAGTTCCTTGAGTTTGCTTCTGTTCATGGAAATCTCTATGGAACCAGTATTGAAGCAGTTGAGGCAGTAGCAGATTCTGGAAAGGTAAATGGTCCTGCTTTTTACGGTTCTATAATAGTGCTTATAGTACCTAATGATGCTCTGAGAGTTGGACATTGGATACTTGCTAATTATTTCAAATTATCAAATGGAATTTCATCCTGGAGGGGCCCACTGGGAAAGCCAGCGGTTTGAGTCCCCAGATAATTGAATCAGTTCAAGAAACTGGCTTTTTTAAAGGGAAGGGAATGATGAAATAGCATATCAGATCTCATGAAATTATGGTCTCATCAGCTCCTGATATTTACAATTAATGAGTTACTAATAATTTCATGCATATTTTGGCCAAAATAAAAAAATGCATAGTATATTGTTGTGAGGGGAGAAGCAGAGTTTCATTTGCCTCTTTCTGGTGGACCTTGAAAATAATTTCATGTAGGTAATGGATAAATGGTACAGTATTAATATTGGATTTTAGGTTGTATATTTTAGAATGCATATCAAGGGCACTCTCTGGTGGGTATAGCATTCTTTAACATCAAAATTGTCTCTCTGCAAAATTGAGGTGTTCTTTGTTTTTTTATTTCAATATAGAGGTGCATTCTTGACATTGATGTTCAAGGAGCAAGGTCTGTCAGGGCCAGTTCTCTTGATGCCATTTTCATCTTTATCTGTCCACCCTCAATGAAGGAGCTTGAAGAACGGCTCCGTGCAAGGTGAATCTGAGCTGTCTATTTTGATATTTAGCATCATACTATTTTCCTTATGTTGTTCAAATTTTAATTTTGTAAATAGGGGGACTAAGACATGTGAATCTGAGCTGTCCATTTGATATTTATCATTGTACTATTTTTCTTATCTTGTTCCTATTTTTTTGTTGTAAATAGGGGGACCGAGACAGAAGAGCAAATCTTAAAGCGCCTCCGAAATGCCGAGGCAGAAATTGAGCAAGGGAAATCACGAGGCATCTTTGATCATACATTATATAATGATAATCTTGAGGAGTGTTACAAGAATCTTAGGGTGACTTCTCTTTCCCCTGAACCATATCATATGCATTTTAAATTCTTTTGAATCTTTTCCAGAGGACTAGATATCCTGATCTAATAAGTTTAATTTGTTATAGGGACTCCTGGGTCTCGATGGAATTGCACCAACTAATTATAAACCTTGTAAGAAGGTTACTTTGTGATTACTATTTCCTCTATTTCTTTTTAATGCAAATGGATAGTAATCTATTTAAAATGTCATCCAGCACCCAAAGGGATTGATCTGCCTTTAAACCATTCAGTGTCAAAAATCGATAATAAGATCCTCATTAATTGTGAGACTCCAGAATCGGGAAACGCATCAAAGAACTTGTAAGATTATCTTTCCCTTTCCCTTCTTTTTCTTACTTTCAGTTGGTTAAAGCAAGGTCATGATTTAGTAGGGTTTGTGACCAAGCATTTGTGGTTTGTTCAGGATTGTACTGGATGTATCCTCGCTTAAAGGTGGGGCTCCTGGTCGGACAAGAGGGCTGAATGTCTATGCCATCGATTCATTTTCAGATGGGTTTGATGGGGTTCATAAACTGAGCTAACAACTGCAACCCACTGATACTAACATGGTTTTAAGCATCTCTATTTAACTTAAGGGGAGCTATGATAAAGCTCTACTTGGCTTCTTAGATCATTGCATATGTTGGATTTTCTTTGTCATTAGATTCTTTGCTTGTTTAGAACCAAAATGTAGCATTTGAACAATTAATATTCCCACATGGGCAATGGAGAGAATTCATCATTTGTGCGGCAATTGAAAGCTTTTCATTCTGGGGTAGAATTATGTTTGTCCCACCAGTCAAGGTATAATTGATTTTGTCTTAATGTAGAGGACTGAACAACCCTGTTTTTCTGTGTGAAAAAGAGAAGCCTTTGTTTTTGGAAAAGGTGCCTTGTTTGTCTCATTAACAGGTAGGTAATGGTATAGAAAAGGTGTCGATTGATGGTTAAAATTATCAAGGAGTAAGGCGCCTGTAATATGCTGGATTTGTCTTGCTAAATGATGATTAATGTTCGATAATAGTTGTTCGAATATGCAACACTATAGCAAAATGTTTGTTATCCATAACAACGATTAGATTCCAAGGTGAAGCAAAAGGAGAAAGGAAAACCTCGTAAGTGTCTGGTCAAGAGGATGAGACTGTTTGGATTTTGAAAGCCAATTAGAGGTAACCAGGGAGACAAAACACCATGACAATTGGTTCCACAAGCGAAGGTACATAATTCTCTATTATAGGAATATCTTCTTCTTTTGGCTTCTTTCAAAGACCATGAATAATGTTCTTTACCATTGAATATTCCTAATCTTTTTCTCCATCGGAGATTATGGTGGAGCTACTTGTCGACTAAAGTGAGAGCATAATAAAACCATGGCAAAGATGAGTAAAAAGGGGAATGGGTTCTTTCGTTAGTATCTTAATGATTACTCCTGTAACAAATTTAGGCATTGGATCTTTTTTTCCCCCCCTCCATTTAGCAAGAAAAATGCAAAGAGGGGAGAGTGGGAAGAGCCAATGAGCTTGGGTTTAATCCTTTTCAAAGGGAGCCAAGTGATCCCTCTTCCAGTGAATGACCGTAAATGCAGTTTTCAGTTGTGAACCCACCACCAGGGCAAAGGACCCTGTGAAAATTCCAGGGAAGGTACCAAAAGTAGTAGGCTGGCAATGGCGTGCTTTTGTGGGCCCTGAAACAGTATTGTGATAGAGACGTTTATAAGCTTTTAACTGCATCCTTTTTTAATTTCCTGTAAGAGGTCGGCAACTGGGCATGGTCCTCGGTCCTTGGTCCTTGGTCCTCATTGTCAGGCACTATATATATATATATATAATTTTTTTTGCTGATTTGCTCTCAGTGTAGCGTAGCGTAGGGGTAGGGCAACTTGGAAGAGAAAAAGGAATGAAAACACCTACCGCATCTTTTTTTTCTTTGCCTTTGCCGTCCATCCTTTCCTTTTTCCTAGTTAGGAAAAAAGTTGTATTTTTTTATATAAAATTCTAATTCTCTTAATTTTAATTAAAATTTTATAAAAAATTATTAATTTTTTTAAATAAAACTTCATTTAAAAAATATAAATACTATTAATAAAATTTTAAAAATTAAATTTTTATTAATTTTAAAAATTATTATTATATTTTTAAATAAAATAAAAAAAAAAATCTACCTGTGCGAAGGAGGGTGCTCCCCTTTGGGAGCTTGATCGAGGCTCCCTAAGGGAGCATCGGGCTCCTCCTTTGGGAGCTTGGTGCTCTCTTTTGGAAGGGTTTTTTTTTTTTAAAATAAAAATTAATAAAATTATATAATAATTTTAAAAATTAATTAAAAATAAAATTATTTTTTATTTAGTATGTCAGTAAGTTGATAAAATTATTAATAATTGACTAACAATTGAATTTAAGAATTATACTAAAAATATTTTTTTAAAATAATATATTTATTTTAAAAATTAATAATTTTTTATATAATTTTCGATCAAATTTTAAAGTATGTGTTTGTCCACGTAAGTGACAAAGAAGAGGCGATGGGAGGGGGAAGGGGGGCGGGTTCCGGTATGTTACTGGGAAGCTTCCTTGAGCCTGTGACAGTGCACAACTACAAGTTCGAAACTTGTAAATCTTTTAACCAAACTTTTGCAGATGGAGGGACCCAGACATTTGACCAGAGAGAGCAAATTGGTGTTGGGATGGGCCCCTTTTGTTCAATTTCTGTAGGTAGGTCCCATTCCATTAACAGCATTACATGGATCGGCCTGCTTCAGATCCTTTTCCAGACTTTTATTTGTGGTTGCAGGGGCATTTCCTCTCTCTCTCTTATTTTATTTTATTTTATTTTATAGTATTTTAAAAAATTTATATTATTTAAAATTTTTTATTTTTTATTTTTTTCAATTAAATTTATATATTTTTATTTTTTAATATTTTAACTAATTATAATTAATCTGTTATTAATTATAAAAACTTAATTACACAAAATAAAAATAAAAATATTTAATTAAATGTATTAAAAGATAAGACTTTATTTAAATATTTTCAAATAATTTAAAGGTTTTGCGAATATTTTACTTCTATTTTTTATTTTGGTGGGATTCATTGAACTTGAGAATCTTATTAGGATAACCATTTTGATCTTTGTTCGAAAAAAAAAAGGAAAGGAGAGAACTTCTTAGATTATTAAAATATTACTTATTACTATATTTAATACTTAAAAAGATTTATTAAAAAAATTGGTAATTTTGGTGAGTTGATAAGTTATAATTCACTAATCTTATCCTTTTGTCCATATTTTTATTTCGATGTCTCTTTTTTTTTTTTACTACTTACCCCAAATAATAAAAAAAAAAAACTCCCATCCTTTAAATTAAAGAAGAAATGCAGGATCTTAGATATTTTAAGAAAATCTAGCTTAAGTGGTTAAAATATGAGATAGGGAAAGTATATCTATGGTCTCGGTAGTGTTAGTAATCCAGTATTTGGATAATTGGATAAATGATCAACTCTATTTTATTTCTATTTCTTTTTCTTTTTCCTATTTTAAAGTAAAAACAACAATAGGAGTTGCCGACGTGTGGTCCGCAGCTGAGCTGGGCCTTATTGCAGACAGTCCCATGCTGGACTCTGACAAATGGAGCCACCTTTCATACTCTTCAAATTTATTATTGTGGACTCTCACCATTTTCCTACAGGCTTCAAATGGGCTAAACCTCAAATGCCAACACTTGGAGGTTAATTTTCTCCATCCCATCTAGGGTTCATTCAATTAAGTTAGTGAGGTAAAAACTATAGTCATAACATCAATGAAAACAAGGATATAAAGTGAAAAGATCATCAGTAGTTTTTTGCATCCATTTTGAACAAACAGTTGGTATTGTAGTTAAAGTAAATTTCAACTTTCTTATCGGAAGTGATGGAGTAGGGATTTTGCATGAGATTTAACTAAAAGAAGATCATACAAAGTCATGAAAAGCGTAGTAACTATCAACAGTTGCCACCATCAGGAAGAGGAGGCTGGTCCTAGTAGAGAGTTAGCCTTAAATGCTTGTTGGCTGACACGATCACCGTATATATTACCCCTTTGAGATGCAGAAAAGTGAAAATTGTTGGACAGTCACATGATTAGATCCTCTTCACATGCATCTACAGGTCGGGCCTTTCTACCTGTCACCCAGGCACTAATGTTTCTTCCAGGCAATCTTCAACGACATCTTTCTTTTCTGCAGGAAAGTGAACAATAATTGTGGCATAATCCCCATGGCATGATGGCGATTCCTACCTTGTTATTTGCTGGAAACATCCAAGGGAGCGAAATGAAAAGGAAGTAAAGAGGGGACAGAAAGTAGGTTAGTCTGCTTTGCCTTCCTTTTATCACATTCATTTCACACGATGCTACTGTTACTATTGTTTTACTTTCACATTAAAGGAAAAGGTTAAATAGAAGACTCAAAATGCCAATTACAAATCGCATGCCCCTTCTTCTACTCTACCTCTATGGCACATTACCAAGCCAAGCCAAGAATGATTTGCCTGTCAACATATATATGACATGAACCTAAGGGTCGTCCCTCTCGAGATGGTTAGAATCAAAGCACTCCAGCTTCACCTTCTAACTCATACCACTGGCGGGAGATCAAGAAAGATCTTCAACAAGATGCCATGAAGCATGACACGGTGAAACAATGGGCTCACACTAAATAACTCCATAATGCATTTAAAGACTTATCATGAATAACAATACATGTCAAAGGCAATGCAGGAGAGGCAGTGCACCCCTTAGGATGGAAGGTTCATTTGATTGTTAGGGCCCTGTGAGGCACCGCATTTGCCACAATTCTCTCATGCTGCTGCCTAGGACAGTCTCCTTCTTCCATCATTTTATCTGAAAGTGAACGAGATGTAGAGAAATGAAACCCTTGATGGTGGGAATAGCGGACATTGCCATTGCCATTGCCATTGATGTAGATTTTGCCATTGCTGATGGAGAATGCCTGCTGCATATCTGTTCCTGGCAATTCAGATTCTGTTACTTCTCGATGACCACCGGATGAATTGACATCCTGGGACATGTGACTGGAAATTGATTTGCCACTTAATAAGTTGGTAAGATGTGATGAAAGATTGGAACTAGTGTCACTGCCTTTGTCAGGTGTGGCATTAGAAGCATCACTGTCAAGCTTTTTGGTGTTTAAGAAACGGCCGCCGCATCCTCTTGCTCTTCTCATAGCATGTAAATGTCGAGACTCATGAAGATAGGGCTGGAAAACATGACAATAGACACCGTTAGAACTTG